AGTTACAGCACTCTGTTACTGTATGTAATAATCAGAATAGTTACATCACCCTGTTACTATATGTAACTAAACCATGCTATCACTCTGTAATAATCAGAATAGTTACAGCACTCTGTTACTGTATGTAATAATCAGAATAGTTACAGCACTCTGTAACTTTATGTAATAATCAGAATAGCTACAGCACTCTGTTACTGTATGTAACTAAACCATGCTATTACTGTGTACTAATCAGAAGAGTTACAGCACTTCTAGTGAGTACTTACATCATTGTATAGTTACAGCACCCTGTTACTTTATGTAACTAAACCAAGCTATCACTCTGTAATAATCAGAAAAGTTACAGCACTCTGTTGCTGTATGTAACTAAACCAAGCTATTCCTCTGTAATAATCAGAATAGTCACAGCACCCTGTTACTGTTTGTAACTAAACCAAGCTTTCACTCTGTAATAATCAGAATAGTCACAGCACTCTTGTTACTGTATGTAATTATCAGAATAGTTACATCACCCTGTTACTGTATGTAACTAAACCAAGCTATCTCTCTGCAATAATCAGAATAGTTACATCACCCTGTTACTGTATGTAACTAAACCACGCGATTCCTCTGTAATAATCTGAATAGTCACAGCACTCCTGTTACTGTATGTAATAATCAGAATAGTTACATCACCCTGTCACTGTGTGTAAACTAAACCAAGCTATCTCTCTGCAATAATCAGAATAGTTACAGCACCCTGTTACTGTTTGTAACTAAACCAAGCTATCTCTCTGCAATAATCAGAATAGTTACAGCACTCTGTTACTGTATGTAACTAAACCATGCTATTCCTCTGTAATAATCAGAATAGTCACAGCACTCTGTTACTGTATATAACTAAACCAAGCTATTACTCTGTAATAATCAGAATAGTCACAGCACTCTGTTACTGTATGTAATAATCAGAATAGTTACAGCACTCTGTTACTGTATGTAATAATCAGAATAGTTACATCACCCTCTTACTGTATGTAACTAAACCAAGCTATTACTGTGTAATAATCAGAGTAGTCACAACACTCTGTTACTGTATGTAATAATCAGAATAGTTACATCACCCTCTTACTGTATGTAACTAAACCAAGCTATTACTGTGTAATAATCAGAGTAGTCACAACACTCTGTTACTGTATGTAATAATCAGAATAGTTACAGCACTCTGTTACTGTATGTAATAATCAGAATAGTTACAGCACTCTGTTACTGTATGTAATAATCAGAATAGTTACAGCACTCTGTTACTGTATGTAACTTAACCAAGCTATTACTGTGTAATAATCAGAATAGTTACAGCACTCTGGTACTGTATGTAACTTAACCAAGCTATTACTGTGTAATAATCAGAATAGTCACAGCACTCTGTTACTGTATGTAATACTCAGAATAGTTACATCACCCTGTTACTGTATGTAACTAAACCAAGCTATTCCTCTGTAATAATCAGAATAGTTACAGCACTCTGTTACTGTATGTAACTTAACCAAGCTATTACTGTGTAATAATCAGAATAGTTACAGCACCCTGTTCGTCTTTGTAACTAAACCAAGTGTTAACAGCTGATATTAGTGATGAGTGAGTTTACCTGATCTTCCACAGTCACTACAGGACACCAGTTCTTCAGGCCGATTGCTCTTCTTGTTCTCCAAGGAATCCCCAAGACAGAAGTCGCAGTAGTTGTTCGCCGAGATCTTGTCATCAATGTTGCTTTTGTTAGCTAACCATGACAAGATTACAATAAATGAAACACATCAATTAGATTGCTTACAGCTTCTTCTCAGGTAAATGGGGCCAGGAATTCTTACAACCTTACCTCCAGTTTATCACTGCATTGAAACTACAATCAATTTCTTTGTGTAATAAATACTTGGAAACAAGGTATTTTTGTTTTTAGGAATTAAAATCATATGATTTAATTTTTGTTTTAATGCTGTGATAGACTCTGGGTGTTTTGTTTTAATGCTGTGATAGACTCTGGGTGAAAAAGTAAATTCCTGACCAATGTACCTGTTCTTGTTCTTTGATAAAAAAAATTGGCATACATTGATATTTAAAGCAATTTTTATCAAAATTGAAGTTGTAACATTTACAGAACTTACCATGATTAATTTAAATGACCAGACTTTACATAATGTATATATATTTTATAATTTACATACTAAATAATTATAAATATATGTATATAGGTTAAGCTTATATAGTGATTGCTTTAAAAATACACAGAACTGAGTTATGAAAATTTATAAATTTGATAATCTAGATGTAAATAACCAAACCTACACAAGCTATATTTAGATATGGTACAGTGCACAGGCATGCTAACACATAACAAGCGTAAACATGCAAGCAAGTGGTTGTCAGTACAATGATGACTATGGTATGATGAAACATACATAGTTCACAGCATCCCATGTATATTACCTTAAATATCTTCGGAGGAAAAAAGTGTCCTCTCAGTGGACAAAGGAATCGGCAAAATATTTCACAACACTTACCAGGTAATATTGATTGATTGACAAAATTTTAGTACTTTTAAATACTACAGGATGATAGTTTTAGAATATTTCAGTAAATTCACCACAGCAGTGATATACACTGACAATGATGAAAACATCAATAACTAGTTACTTATAAATAATAAGGTATGTATCTTACAAACTTAACACAAATAATTACCATAATTTCCTCAGATTGATACTGGAAGAAATGTTAAATGTTTTTTTCTTTAATCAAAACAAAGATTCGTAATGGGTCTACTGTACTGGTAGATATTCGTGCCAATATACATTAAATGAAGATCTCAAATGACCTTGAGAACGGTGTTTGTTTGTGACGTGGGCTCGCTCAAGAGAGATGGACATCTCAAAGAAAAGAAAAATAGGAATGATAATGGAAAGGGATAGCCACAATATAGGTATGTGTGAAGAGATTGACACATGATGAAAGGGATAGCCACAATATAGGTATGTGTGAAGAGATTGACACATGATGACAGAACCTCTTTAGACCAGATACCGAACACACACAACATTACACAAAACAAGTACCAATAACACAAAAACAGCAGTTTATATTTTTGGATTTCTTATATTTCCTAAGAACGGAATGTAAAGTCAAAATTAATTGGTGCAAAAAGGACAAATTAAACAAAAATATATTATTCTGTGAGGGGAGGTACTAAGTTTTAAACCAGGATTAAACAGTCCAAAATGTACCTTTATAACAAGATGCAAGGACTAGCTAAAGGTAAATACAAAACACTGTCTGATTAAAATATAAAATAAAACAGGAGATAATGGTTTCAGGTAGCACATGTTTAATAAACTATAGAACTGGTCATGAAACAGGGATACTAAAAATGGAAAGTGGTGAGTACATATTTACAGGGAAAGTTGTGTAAACACATTGATGAGTTCATATTTACAGGGATAGCTGTGTTAACACATTGATGAGTACATACTTACAGGGATAGCCGTGTTAACAGTGATGAGTACATATTTACAGGGATAGATGTGTTAACAGTGATGAGTATATATTTACAGGGAAAGTTGTGTAAACACAGTGATGAGTACATATTTATAGGGATAGCTGTGTTAACAGTGATGAGTACATATTTACAGGGAAAGTTATGTAAACACAGTGATGAGTACATATTTATAGGGATAGCTGTGTTAACAGTGATGAGTACATATGTACAGGGATAGCTGTGTTAACAGTGATGAGTACATATTTACAGGGATTGCTGTGTTAACAGTGATGAGTACATATTTACAGGGAAAGTTATGTAAACACAGTGATGAGTACATATTTATAGGGATAGCTGTGTTAACAGTGATGAGTACATAATTACAGGGATAGCTGTGTAAACACAGTGATGAGTACATATTTACAGGGGTAGCTGTGTAAACACAGTGATGAGTACATATTTTCAGGGATAGCTGTGTTAACAGTGATGAGTACCTAGTTCATATTTATAGGGATAGCTGTGTTAACAGTGATGAGTACATAATTACAGGGATAGCTGTGTAAACACAGTGATGAGTACATATTTTCAGGGATAGCTGTGTTAACAGTGATGAGTACCTAGTTCATATTTATAGGGATAGCTGTGTTAACGGTGATGAGTACATATTTACAGGGATAGATGTGTTAACACATTGATGAGTACATATTTACAGGGATAGTTGTGTTTACAGTGATGAGTACATATTTACAGAGATAGCTGTATAAACACAGTGATAAGTACATTCTGTAAGTAATAATGCTATATTAACAGGGAAACTGTGTTTACAATAGCCATGTTNCTGTGTTAACACATTGATGAGTACATATTTACAGGGATAGCTGTGTAAACACAGTGATGAGTACATATTTACAGGGATAGCTGTGTTAACACAGTGATGAGTACATATTTACAGGGATAGCCGTGTTAACAGTGATGAGTACATATTTACAGGGATAGCTGTGTTAACACATTGATGAGTACATATTTACAGGGATAGCTGTGTTAACAGTGATGAGTACATATGTACAGGGATAGCTGTGTAAACACAGTGATAAGTACATTCTGTAAGTAATAATGCTATATTAACAGGGAAACTGTGTTTACAATAGCCATGCAAAATATAATCTAACATACAATCATTAGTAGATAATAACCAGCGACAGTTACATATTTAGACAAGACATAAATACCCAGCGACAGATACATATTTAGACAAGACATAAATAACCAGCGACAGATACATATTTAGACAAGACAAAAATACCCAGCGACAGATACATATTTAGACAAGGCATAAATAACCAGCGACAGATACAAATAACAAAGACATATACAAATAGCAATGAATGATACAAATTACAGCAGCAGGCTCATATTACTGTGACAGACAAAAATAACACTGCAGCTATTGTCGGTACATCTATAGGTACACAAAGCCGTAGGTCGCCACATTTACAGCATTAACAGCAACAGGTAGATAAAGTAAGGTCAGAACTGACAGAAAGCTATACGGAGACCAGATGATAGACAAGCCAGCCCACACACAATACAAACCAGAACGACTGCTGGTCCGTGTGGCGGGCTTGGGAGAAGTGGGGGGAAGCACCTCCTCATCCAGCATGCCGTTATGGAAGTGAGTGTAATGGTAGGCCAGCCCAGGCCGCGTCTTGTAGCGAGCACCACAAGCTGTCAGGAGGAAGGGCAGCTTATATCAGTACTTCTCACATAACTACTGACATCATATCACATAGTAAAACAGGTGGTGGGCAAAGGGCACAGTTGTGACAGAGACTGAAAACTGGATCTTTATTCATAGAAGAAAAATAAGAAGAGTTTCAAAGTACCATTAACATGGTGTTATAACATCTTTTTATAATCACGATACTGCATCGTACCAAAATAGTTTAAATCATCCAGGAGCCCTTTATGCATTTTATATTGAATGGATTTCCTTCAGAATTTGAATATTTTGAACTTGGTATGACATTTTCGCTAATGTGTAATTAATGATACATGTACTTCAATGCACTTTTATAATTAACAAGTTCAGTTGTAACTTTTACCTGTAACTAAGTCCTTTACCTTCTGTATGTTTTGAATGTATATAGAAGTTTAGGGCGGATTCCTGAGATTCTAGTAAAAGATGCCACATTTCAAAAAATATTATTGATAAATTATTTTGTGATGTCTATATAAGTCCCCAAAACTGGTCTGAATACTGTGATCCTTCTGATGTTGACAGGCAGTACAGAGAGTACATACGTAGGTACAGATGAAGACAACGTGTAGGGCACTAACAGACTGGCAGTAATATTATGTACCACCTGAGGATCAAGAGCTCGTCATTCAGCAGTGACAAAACCTGACTTTTTTGTAAGTCTATGCCTATCTGGTAGTAACTAGCCAGATATNCACACACACACACACACACACACACACACACACACACACACACACACACACACACACGCACACGCACGCACACACATGCACGCACACACATTAATCATTGACCTCCCCCACCCTTACATACACACACACACACACACAAATTAATCATTGACCTCCCCCACCCTTATTTACATGCCACTTCTAGTCAGTGATATAACAAAACTGATGTAATGAAACAATACTTTTATATTAATTACATGATATTGGAGAAAGAAAAAAATGCATAGAGTAAAAGTCCTCTTTAGTGAAGACTCCAAATAGTTAAGAGGCTCACAACGGTGGCAGCCCCTGTTATTCCAGGAAATAGTTACTATCTCTCAGGTATATTTATATAAAGTTATGTAAGAAAAAATGAAATATTCAAAATCTTAAAATGATTAATGTAATCTTCCACATTTTATTTTACACATGCTAAATCTTCCTTTAGCATAAATAGCCTGCAGTACTTTTACAAGTTCTCACAGTCATTTTAAAACCCCAAAGGTGTATAACACATCAAAGATATCAGATTTAAATGATAGAATGATTAAAACTTAACACAAGTCTTGATCAGTTGGAAACTTTACCGTCACAACATACGCATCCTTAGAAACTTGACTAGCTTTCTCAAAAACTAAGTCACAAGGCGCATAGATTATTTGAAATTCCTACAAGCATTTAAATAGATACATTGATATTTTTCAATCCTGTTCTATATCTTTACATAAAAACAGATAAATAGGAAACTCTCACAACCATAAGGCACCCTCAATCTTATACCTCCACAAGCATATGGCTTCTCCTTCTCCTCAGGAGCATTTACATCCTTTTCTGTGTTTTTCTTTCGTCCACGATTTGACTGAAACCAAAGAAATATTTGAAGAAATATAGAGAAGTCACAAAAATACAATCACTAACAATAGAGAAACTTATATATCTATACATTTCGGCAATAAAAGTGAAATCTCTAAAAATATCTATAGTGTATGCATGGCTATTTATACTGTATACAGAGTACTGTAAACCTACAATGTGCTGTTTTACTGTATGCATAGTAATGACAATATGATTATGTGCTGTTGTAGTTTTGATATATAAACAATATCAAATATATCTTAATGCTAATGATACATGTCATATCTGGGAATAAAATCATTGATAGCTAGCTATCTACAGGAGTATCTACATGGTGTGACACCTAGCCATCTACAGGAGTATCTACATGGTGTTTTTCCTAGTCATCTACGGAAGTATCTACATGGTGTGATACCTAGCCATCAACAGGAATATCTACATGGAGTGGTACCTAGCCATCTACAGGAGAGTATACATGGTGTGGTACCTAGCCATGTACGGGAGTATCTACATGGTGTTTTTCCTAGTCATCTACGGAAGTATCTACATGGTGTGATTCCTAGCCATCTACAGGAGTATCCAACTGGTGTGGTACCTAGCCATGTACGGGAGTATCTACATGGTGTGACACCTAGCCATCTTCAGGAGTATCGACATGGTGTGGTACCTACCCATCTACAGGAGTATCTACCTGGTGTGATAGCTAGCCATCTACAGGAGTACCTACATGGTGTGATACCTAGCCACCCCCAGGAGTGTCTACATGGTGTGGTACCTAACCATCTACAGGAGTATCTACATGGGGTTGTACCTAGCCATCTACGGGAGTATCTACATGGTGTGATTCCTAGCCATCTACAGGAGTATATACATGGTGTGATACCTAGCCATCAACAGGAATATCTACATGGAGTGGTACCTAGCCATCTACGGAAGTATCTACATGGTGTGATACCTAGCCACCCCCAGGAGTGTCTACATGGTGTGGTACCTAGCCATCTATGGGAGTATCTACATGGTGTGATAGCTAGCCATCTACAGGAGTACCTACATGGTGTGATACCTAGCCACCCCCAGGAGTGTCTACATGGTGTGGTACCTAGCCAGCTACAGGAGTATCTACATGGCCTGGTACCTAGCCATCTACAGGAATATCTACATGGTGTGATTCCTAGCCATCTACAGGAGTATCTACATGGTGTTGTACCTAGCCATCTACGGGAGTATCTACATGGTGTGGTACCTAACCATCTACGGGAGTATCTACACGGTGTGGTACCTAACCATCTACAGTAGTATCTACATGGTGTTGTACCTAGTCATCTATGGGAGTATCTACATGGTGCGGTACCTAGCCATCTACAGGAGTATCTACATAGTGAGGTACCTAACCATCTATGAGAGTATCTACATGGTGCGGTACCTAACCATCTATGAGAGTATCTAGATGGTGTGGTACACACCACACCATGTAAGCACGTGTCTATGTGGTGTGGTATCAAGTTCAAATTTATTAATTTTAGGTAAAAATACATACAATATTTACCTTCTTCTTTTTCTTTTTGATGAAAGTTTCCTCAAAGTCACTTATGTCTGACTGATCGTCCACTATTTCCCCTGCATCTGGTGGCTCGCTAAGATTTTCGTATTCATCGTACCAACGGTCCTTACTCGACTCACTTTTGTACTCCAGATCCTCAACATGAATCTCCCCCCGGATGGCAGGATTCTCAACTGTACTGATCTGGTGCATATCTCAAGAACAAGGAAGCCTCATAATCATATCTTGGAAGCATTGTACGTGTATTAGTGTAGCATTATAGGAGTATACATTTAGGTTCTGTTATGTAGTGATATCAGTCCTGAGTCCTATACTCAAAGAATTTTGATGGGACTCAGAATTTAAACATAAATACTTAATACTTAAATTTAACATTGTGGAACCCATTGTTTTGAGTAGTACAGTTGAAAAGGACCCATGAAAACAAATTGTAGATTGATCACTGGTTATGTATCATCAATATAACACAATATCTTGGATGAAAACATTCACAATGGGTTTTTTTTGTATTGGTTCTGAATTTCTTCTGAAATATAGGTGGGGCTGTCAAACATTAAAATAATATGTATTTTATACTCCTTTTGCAAGACAAAGGACGAAATATAAATGCCGTAACTGATTTGTAATTAATATAAAGCTACCTGCTTCTCCAGTCTCTATATCGCTGGCTTTTGTTACGCTGACATCTGCTGATGACGTCATAAAGGCCAGTCGCTTTTTCTTCTTCCAGCGAAGAGCAGGATAAGAATACATCTGACCATATGTACTTCCTGTAAAACAAGCACAAGAATTTGTGTAATCGGAAATCTTTCTATGTTGCTAAGACAACAGGATGAAATCTTTCTATGTTGCTAAGACAACAGGATGAAATCTTTCTATGTTGCTAAGACAACAGGATGAACTCTTTCTCCTAATCACCTCTGTAAATGATATCAGTATACACTGTCCTTCTATGTGGTCCTGAATGATTCAACACATTCACACGGCAATCGTATTATATACCCCTTTCATTACAACAATCATGGATATTTACATTAAAGCACTTGGGGATATGTAATCTGTGTACAATTATATTATATAGTTTGTATGAAAGAACTTGCAAAGCTAATACCATAAAAGCATTTTAGATATCATTTTTGTAGAAACTTTATCATGATTGTCTGACTACCATACACCTGGAATCTTTCGTACACATTCACTTTATTTCACTTTCAAAAAGTTACTTCCGAAACACTTTTCATATATTTAATAACTGAAATAAATAAACATAAATTTCATAAACGTGTCCCAAAACTTCAAAATTATCAGTTTTCATTCAAAAAATGATAGGTCCACAAACACTCTAAAGTGTGACACAAAAAAATATCTATTGAATTTATAAACCCTACTTGCATGAAATGTTATTTCTGTTGTTCAATATTGTGGTTTGATGCAGCCATACAGTTTAATAGGTGTGAGAATCCTAAGTAGACATGCCGGGGAAATCTCTGGCTTGTCCTACTACTCTGGTGGACAAGTGTGTAGATACCAAATACACATGAAAAGAAGCCATATAGGCATTAAATGATACAAACTGAATTTCACATACACACCAAATTTGGTTGAAATTGAATAATTTTACGGAAAGTTATTTAATAGAAATTAATTGACCCATCGGAAGTGGATAGCAGAATTAATCAGTCTGAAAATCAAACTTAGTCTGAGACTTGTCATTAAGAATATTAATTAACACACCAATTTTTGTTTAATCAAATCATTTTAAGGCAAGTTATTGCATAGAAACTTATGAACCAATCAAAAGTGGGTAGCTGCATAAATTATGTTTAAATATGCACACAAATGACACCTCCAATACTTCATGGCACTTAGCCTGGTGATTGCCCATACATGTATTTTTACATTGGTTCTGCATCCTTCTATTGCAATACTTTAAAGAAGGCAAATGTTGTTGTGAGACTATAACAACATTGTCATTTGCTATTGTAACGTCATCAATTTCATTGTTGTCAACACTTATTTGCTGTTTAAAGAACTGTCTAAATAACTAAATAAAGCATAGATACTCTATCAAAATGTAAATACAAATAATGAATATTTTAGCAAATATTGTTATGGTCCTATTACACACATTTCTATTGCTGACAAACTAACATAAAGCCCTACCTTTATTAAGTTTGTCATCAATAGCAATGTGTGTTACAAGACCATAACAACATTTGCTAAAACATTCATTGCTTAAATACATATAGGGGTCACACATATTATATGTAAATACATAGGGGTCACATATTATGTGTAAATACATAAGGGTCACACATATTATATGTAAATACATAGGGGTCACACATATTATGTGTAAATACATAGGGGTCACACATATTATGTGTAAATACATAGGGGTCACACATATTATGTGTAAATACATAGGGGTCACACATATTATGTGTAAATACATAGGGGTCACACATATTATGTGTAAATACATAGGGGTCACACATATTATGTGTAAATACATAGGGGTCACACATATTATGTGTAAATACATAGGGGTCACACATATTATGTGTAAATACATAGGGGTCACACATATTATGTGTAAATACATAGGGGTCACACATATTATGTGTAAATACATAGGGGTCACACATATTATGTGTAAATACATAGGGGTCACACATATTATGTGTAAATACATAGGGGTCACACATATTATATGTAAATACATAGGGGTCACACATATTATGTGTAAATACATAAGGGTCACACATATTATATGTAAATACATAGGGGTCACACATATTATGTGTAAATACATAGGGGTCACACATATTATGTGTAAATACATAGGGGTCACACATATTATGTGTAAATACATAGGGGTCACACATATTATGTGTAAATACATAGGGGTCACACATATTATGTGTAAATACATAGGGGTCACACATATTATGTGTAAATACATAGGGGTCACACATATTATGTGTAAATACATAGGGGTCACACATATTATGTGTAAATACATAGGGGTCACACATATTATGTGTAAATACATAGGGGTCACACATATTATGTGTAAATACATAGGGGTCACACATATTATGTGTAAATACATAGGGGTCACACATATTATGTGTAAATACATAGGGGTCACACATATTATGTGTAAATACATAGGGGTCACACATATTATGTGTATACCAGTGTCACAATAATTATTACCTCGCTGTCTACTCCTGTAGGGGTGCCACAGGTTCGTGTGGTTTTGTGCAACACCCGTCTGAGAGTCTAGGAAGGGCAGTCGGAGCTTTCTTTCAAGTGAAAGCCTTGTGTTAAAGCTAGCTGTGTGCTCCGTCATATCTTTAAATACAGTTTCCCCTCCCATACTGAAATTACAAAGTTAATTATAAGACAGAAAAAATATACTGGGTATGACGGGTACATATATATACTGTTGTGATAGTGTCATTGTATGATGATATTATGTACAGGTGTATTATAAAGTATTAAATGGTTACTATTTTGTATACCGACGGTGGTATACTATTTATAGGAGTCCATTTTTAACAGAAATCAGCCTTCTGCTTGGCACATTTCAGCTCAATTTTCAGGGTGCACGACACTAATTTGAATGCAAAACAAATCTGAAAAAACGGGTGCTGTGTAGGCCATGTGAAAATGTTGTAAACCTGTATGTTGGGTCCAATGATCTGTCTATATTTAGTGTGGTCAATTTGGACAGTGTGGTCATGAAGACTAGATGTGCTTCAAACAAGAATGAATATTTAGAGAGTAGTAATAGAGGGATCTCTATTTTACGACATTTTGATATATATAACTTTTGGGAATAGATATATTTTGATATATAGAACTTTTGGGAATAGATATATTTTGGTCAGATTTTTAAATATTATAAAGGATAGTAGATCGATATAAGTGATCCTTAATGAACACTGTTTTATATGTGTTATTTTATTTGTGTATAATATAAGTTACACTGACAAAACAATTTAACTCAGAAGATCATAATTTCCTGAAACCCCACTTCAAATGTATACAAGAAGAGGAGGTAGGAATTTTGTAGGTGATTCTTACAATGTCTAATATAAGTACTGTAATACATATTTGTGAAACTGCTATTGTTCATCCATTTGATTCACGAAAAGCGATCTTCTATATTGTAGTGAAGAAATACATAATCATTACTGGGTACTTGTAATTCAATGGAAACTTGGAAAGGTTTGATAGGAATTACTGTGTGAATCAGAATGTACTGTTATCTTATGCATTTCATGTTGTTTTTTTAATGCTGTTACTTTGGTAAAATTTACCAAAATAAATCCATTTGAGCGAAACCCTTGAGAGACTATGTTGTACAACGGAACAGTGGCCATGGTTTGTCACTCTAAATGCACCCACAATGTATTTGCAATCTGGGGTCATTTGGCCCCACACCTGTTAGCATTATGGGTTGTTTAGCTCTAAAACCAGTTTGCCCTTTGATACATATATTTTTTAAATTAATAAATTAATAACAGTTTTTATGACATTTAAAATGTCATCAAAACTGTTGTGAATGATGGAAAACTTGCTGGTTTTATGTTTCATGAACACAACTGTGTTCCCAGAGGTAAGAATGCGCTGTGTGCTAGTCGGCTATGCATAAGTCTGGCAGATTTTAATCTTACATATGATTTCAGCCACTTTAATTTCTAGCTTCATGCAAGAGGGAACTTTCCTTAAGCCTAATCAGTAGAGCGGACTGGGAAGCTTGGGATCCCTGGTTTAATCCTCCACAGAAAATAGTGACTAGGAGTCAGAACCTGGGTTCTACTTCTACCGTATACTGACCTACTTCACCTAGTTGAAGATTATGTCAGAGATCTACGAAGGGAAAGGATGGGGCAGTGACATAACTAGGTAAAAAAAGATGTTGTTTAATACTGAGCATTCCAGTCACAGATGGTTCTTGGGAAGAAGGATTGTTGTCTACAGGTAGTTCTGGAATGAAGTGTTTGGTAGGAGTATGAGTGAGAGAATCTGGTCTGTCGCGTTTGGGGTGTAAGAGTGTTCTGCTGGACTGAAACTAAGTTATGGGTAATTTTGTATAACATCGAGAGCTGTGCATCTTTACGTCTGACCTGAAGACTGCGCCAACCAAGATCTAATAACATGGCACCAACGCTAGAGGTGTTGTGAAATTTGTTGGTGACATAACGTGCAGCCCTTCTCTGTACCATTTCTGATTTTTCAATATCACATTTTAGGTATGGGTCCCAGACAGGCTATGAGTACTCGAGAGATGGACGGACGAGTGACTTATAAGCCTGTTCTTTAATGATCCTGGAGCTTATTTTTAAATTTCCTCTCAGGTAGCCTAGGGTCTTATTTGCTTTTCCAATGATGTTATTTATATGCGACTCCCATTTAAGGTCTTGTTGCAATGTGACTCCTAAATACTTTGTCTTATCAGCATGTTCAAGCGTGTGATTGTGGAGAGTATAGTTATAAAGGACAGGATTTTTGTTACGGCAGATTGAAAGAACAGAGCACTTATATAATTATCAGGGTG